CCCCCCTCCCTCCATCACATCCCCCTCTCCCTCCCTCTCATCCCCCCTCCCCTCCATTACCCCCCCCAGCACATCCCACCCCCAGCACAGCAGCACCATTGGTGTAGAGCGGCCGGCGGAAGGGCGCCCCCTTGGACACGGCCATGGCCAGGATGAGGTACTGGAAGCTGGACAGACAGAAGACCACCGTGTTCTCATAGTTGGGCAGGTTGTCTGGCGCGGGTACCGTCCTGTTCAGAGGCACGAACCTGGGAGCACAGGGACCGGGAGTCAGGGAGCGAGGGTGAGGAGGACGGGGCATGGGTGGGATCTGGGGTGAGCTCCCCGCTACTCACCAGGGCTGGGCCACGGTCAGGAAGTAGCCCCCCAGCTGAACGCTGGCCACCAGGGCCACCTGTAGCAGCAGGCTGCTGAGCACGGGCACGCTGAGCAGGGCCCCTGGCGGCCGCGCCTGACCCAGAGCCAGCGCCGGCCCCGTGCGGCTCATGAGCACCGCCACCGTGGTGGTGATGACCAGGTCGATGACCAGGAACTGCACGTCGCCCAGGTTGGTGTTGACCTGCCGGCAGAGAGGGAGGGCGGAGGGGAGGATAGCTCCTAGTCTGATGGGACAGGCACCAGCCCTGCCCTTGAGGAGTCTGATGGGGAAGGTGTTTTCTTGCCCTGCAACTTGATGGGCAGACGCACCCTCCTGCCTCTGGGAACTCCCAATCTGATGAAGGAGACACGGCCCTGCCTTCAGGAAGCCCCTCTCCCCGTCTGAGGGAGAAGGCATCCCTGCTGACCTGATGGGAACTACCAGGCTGAGAGGGAGGCTGAGGCTCTGCCTTGTGGAGCCCCAAGGTTTCTGGAGGACACACAGTTCCTGCCCTCAGGTTTAAGGTGGACACAGGGACAAAAGCTGGCGCAAGGCCTGCAGCGCCCCATGGCGTCACCTGTTTCCAGTGTGGGCGAGCAACGCGTGCGCTGAGCAGAGGAGTGGGTGATACCCTTTGGACAGGAGACTGGAGGCACAGTCGAGGTCTGAGTTAGGGCGAGCGGGGAATGGGCGGATTCATGGGAAAGGGGCAGAGGCCTCGGGTGTCCCGCTCCTGCCTCTGCCTTCTTCACCCCTGCCTGGGCTCTGCCTCAGGCCCCCCTGCAGATGGGGAACTCCCAGAGGACAGGGATGAAACGCCAGCACAGGACAGCTGCTCCCGTTTCTGAGGACCTACTGTGCACCAGCTGCCCCGTGCTTTCATCATCTCAGACAAGCCTCTGCCGAGGCTCCGGAGCGCCTAAGCCACGTGGCTGGAGCAGGATTTGAGGCC